TTATTTTTTCATGGTATCAGAGCAGGTTTAGAACCTAATATTTTCGCTTCCCCGGCGGGCGGCAACCTCACCTTAGCTGCCCGCCGGACCTCAACCTAGTCTGCTAAAATTCTCTACACATACCTTGAAATTTATTCGAGTCCACCACCACTGTTAACCTTACCCTGTGAGACCCCAGCTTCCAGATCCAACTCTACCGAACACTCTGAATATACATCAACTCTGGTGGGATTTCCCCAACCAGTTGATTCAACCAAATCATCAAATCCCGGAGCTTGGCGAGGGAACCCAAGCTAGCAGGGATTTCCCCAGTGAGGAAATTGAAGCTCAGATCAAGAGAAACCAGCTGAGTACAGTTACTCAGACTCTTCGGTATCGGACTTGCTAACTTATTGTTCTGAAGATACAGAACTTTCAACATGTTGCTAGGATCTTGACAAATACCAGGAGAGTCCCAATCGGTAACTCACCAGAAAAGTTGTTATTAGAGATGTCGAAATTCCATGGCAGAGCAGACCCAGACAAATTGTTGAAAGAAAGATCCAACTCCACCAGACCATTCGAGCTCTGATACCATGTAGAAATTTAATGTATAAAGAGAAATAGAGAGAATTAATTATGTATAGAGAAATAGAGAGAATTGTATTATTGATTGATATATATTGATTTCTATTACAATGATTCATAAAAACTGTCCGGAAACTCAACTGCTCCTGTTGCTTTGACTTTGTTTTGCCGTCTTTGTGATAAAGCCTAACTAACCAGGGGAGCTGAGCTTGTGTACGTATTCATGTTATTATGTTTGTATGTACATAAATTTTTGAAAATGATATACATTCATGCGTTCTTCATATTTTTAATATTTACTCTTTAATATTTATTTTCTTCTTATTTTTAGGGACTTAGCTTTCTTCATTTACAGTAACGCCCTTTTTCATGATGATAACGACTGTTGCCATTTGTTCAGGAGTGTTTGGGACTTTTATTAAGGGCAAGCTGCGCATTGGTCTATCTATTCTTCATTTCGATAGGGGTGTTGTTAATTGAGTGGGTGGCAAAGTATTTTGCAAGATCCGTGATTTGCTGCATTGGAACTTGCTAGCAAACACCCCAATCAAAGCCTTCGGTATTGTTAATTTCGTAGGAACTTTATGGTATACGTAGACAAGTATTTGGTGAGTCATTTTTTCTGTGTCTACTTTCATATTTTATATATTGAAATGTACTATATACTTACATATAATAATTGTTAATTTATTTATTCATATTGTAATGCAAAAAATACCAAAATTTCGTCGAATGAAACATGCGACCAAGTTACCAAGGGAAGCATTTTCCGACTTTCTAGCATAGTTTTTTTATTGGGTTGCCACTCGTATTCGAAATCATTAGTACAACTTTGGGTGAGCTCTAATTTTATTTACTTTATATAAAGTTCTTTTCCTTTGGTTTTTGTTATTTAATAGTATAAGCCAATACTGTTATTTATTATTTTTGGATTTACTTTGCTTTATGGTAACTTATACTTTGTTGAATGTTTTAGACCTTATGGTTTGGTGTCACACATCTGAGGAACGTGTTCCACCTTTTCATGAAATGCCAATTTCAGCTTTCACATTGTCCAAGTAAGTTGCATCTTTGTAGAAATGTTGGCCTCCTTTTTGAAGTTATTATTGTAAAAGTGAAGAGCTGCTTTTAACTGTTGTTTTTAAGTATTAGGCTTTGTTTTTATATATATACATTTATATGTTTTTGTTCTTATTATTATCATTATCATTGTATAATTTATTTGTAATTTGCATTTATTTAGGCTTGGCAATGCTATGTGTGGTTTGTGGTTTCTGTGCTGTCATTTTGCTTCTTTAAGTTGTTTTTTGTTGTTGTTGTTGTTGGATGACTCGAACGATTATGATGGTTGTCTTTTGGATGACTGTAAAACAAGTTATTGTGGTTTTTTTGAGGTTGATTGCAACTTTGAATATGTTGGTAGCTAATTGTATTTTTCATGCTTTTTGCTTCTTAGAACATGATTTGTTTTGTTTTTTAAAATGAAAAAGTGGTTGTATTCTGTCTTATCAGTTTTGTTGGATGTTTCATCTCATTTTAATTTTAAATTTGGAATGTTTTGAATTTGATATGGTTTTTTTTAATATTATTTCTTATTAAATTTAGAAAATTCTAGAATATATACAAACCAAATTTGAAACCAACTTGTTTAGTAGTTTTTAGTTTGATTTTTGAAAACATATTCTGAATTTTTTTTTCTATAAATGTAAAAATTAATTTGTTAAAATTAAAAAAAAATAAAAAATTAAACACTTATTATTTTTACATAATTTTATCTTTTATCTTTTGGTAACCAGAATTAATTTTTAAAAATTTAAAAACATTTTTTTTGATATTTATTTTTATTAAATTAGTTTCTAATTTTTTCAAATTTTTTTTTAAATAAAATCAAAGATAAGGCCTTTGTTTTTGCTAGTTTTTTCAGATGATTGATTACTATACATCTCGACCGGATTGAGTGTTAATTGATGAAACGTTTGGTTAGCTAATTATTCTATTGAAATGTAAATTTTTGTTATTGTGGAAGAATTAATTTATTATCTAGTTTTGAATTATGATTTTGGTTGGTTTTCCCATTTCTTTTTTCTAGTTGGAGTTGCATTTGGCAGCATCCTAGTGTTCCTCTCTAGTTGGAACATTTTGACAACTGTCAATTTTTTTTTGTTTAATCCAAAACTAGATAACATATTAATTCTTCCACAATAACAAAAATTTAAATATAGTTAACCAAATGTTTCATCAATAAACACTCAATCAGGTCGAGAGGTATAGTAATCAATCATATGGAAAAACTAGCAAAAACAAAGGCTTTATGCTTGATTTTATTCAGAAATGTTCTTGAAAAAATTGGAAACTAATTTAATAAAAATAAATATAAAAAATATTTTTAAATTTTTAAAAATTAATTTTGGTTACCAAAAGTTAAAATAATAAGGGTTTAATTTTTTTATTTATTTTACCAAATTAATTTTTACATTTATATAAAAAAAATTCAGAAATATGTTTATGAAAATCAAACTAAAAACTACTAAACAAGTTGATTTCAAATTTGGTTTGTATATATTCTATAATTCTCTGAATTCAATAAGAAATAACATTAAAAAAATCATATTAAATTCAAAACATTTCAAATTTAGAATTAAACTGAGAACAAGTATCAAACAAAACTGATAAGACAAAATACAACCACTTTTTCATTCTAAAAAACAAAACAAATCAGGTTCTAAGAAGCCAAAAGCATGAAAAATACAGTCATCCACCAACATATTCAAGGTTGCAATCATCCTCACAAAAAATTCACCATAACTTGTTTTACAGTCATCCAAAAGACAACCATCATAATTGTTCGAGTCATTCAAAAAAAAAAAACTTACAGAAGCAAAACGACAGCGCACACGAACAGCACATAGCATTGCCAAGCCTAAATAAATGCAAATTACAAATAAATTATACAATACCAATGATAATAATAAAAATAATGTGAACAAAAACATATAAATGTATATATATATAAACAAAGCCTAATACTAAAAAACAATAGTTAAAGTTGCTCTTCACTTTTACAATAATAACTTCAAAAAGGAGGCCAAAATTTCTACAAAGATGCAACTTATTTGGACAATGTAAAAGCTGAAATTGGCATTTCTTGAAAAGGTAGAACAGGTTCCTTGGATGTGTGACACCAAACCATAATGTCTAAAACATTCGACAAAGTACAAGTTATCAGAAAGCAAAGTAAATCCAAAAATAAAAAATAACAACATTGACTTCTACTATTAAATAACAAAATCAAAGGAAAAGAACTTTAAATAAAACGAGAGATCACCCAAAGTTGTACTAATGATTTCGAATACGAGTGGCAATCCAATAAAAAAACTTCACCGGAAAGTCGGGAAATGCTTCCCTTAGTAACTTGGTAGCATGTTTCATTCGACGAAATTTTGGTATTTTTTGCATTAAAACATCAATAAATAAATTAACAATTATTATATGTAAGTATATAGTACATTTCAATATATAAAATATGAAAGTAGATAGAGAAAAAATAACTCACCAAACAACTGTCTACGTGCACCATAAAGTTCCTATGAAAGTTAACAATACCGAAGGCTTTGATTGGGGCGTTTGCTAAGTTCCAATGCAGCAAATTGCGGATCTTGCAAAATACTCTGCCACCCACTCATATTAACAACACTCCTATCGAAATGAAGAATAGATAGACCAGTGCACAGCTTGCCCTTAATAAAAGTTCCAAACACTCATGAATAGATGGCAACCGTCGTTATCATCATGAAAAAGGGCATTACTGTAAATGAAGAAAGCTAAGCCCATGCAAATAAGAAGAAAATAAATATCAAAGAGTAAATATGAAGAATGCATGAATGTGTATCATTTTCAAAAATTTAACATGAATACGTACACAAGCTTAGCTCCCCTGATTAGTTGGGCTTTATCACAAAGACGGCAAAACGAAGTCAAAGCAATAGGAGCTGTTGAGTTTCCGGACAGTTTTATTTTCAGAACGAGTTGTTTGAAATCCTCAATAGCTTTCTTCAAATCAGCTTCGAAATCGGCTTGCGACAGGAGGCTAGCAAAATTGGTCAAGTTGACAAACTTGACCATTTGACTTCGCGACACCATCACCCCAGTAGCTAGATTGCCATGAAACTCACCACGGTAGAGGAGTTCCCTTCAAACCGCCACCAATCTGCCTGGAACATGCCCCCCCATCCCCCCCTCCCCAAAAAAAAAAAATAATAATAAAAAGCATAAACAAAAGAAAAGATTTCGAAGGTAAATTTAATAGAAATGAAATGAAATTTAAAAACAGAGCAAACATCATCAATGAAACCCAAAACCTTTATAGATCAGATGAGTCAAATACCCACCTTTTCAATAGTCTGTATTTAACCCACTTTGGAAACTGTGATAGCCCAATAAATTATAAAAGTAGTAATAATTTTATAATTTCAAATATTTTGATGATGAATCCTAAAGTACCAATTAAATATTTGGAGGGACTTTTAATTAATTTTAAACCTAAAATAAATTTATGGTGAAAGTCTTTAATTTAAAGGCAAGATTTATTATAATAAAAAAATGGGGACAAATTAGTAAGTATATTTTGATCTAATAAATTAATAATAGTTGTATTTTGTTTAAATTAATGGAGAGAGAAAATATAATAAAAGAAAGGATAATTATTTAGTCTTTTATGTTATGTATAACAAAGAAAAGAAAGAAAACAAACTCTAGCTCTTTTAACAATTTCCCTAGCAGCATCAGCCGTGAGAGAGAGAAGAGAAACGAAAAGTTGCAACTAAGGAAAGGATAGTCTTCGTAGGTTTTCTTTTCTTCTTTCTTTGTTCTTCATTCTTATCCTATAATTCTTTGATGGAGAGGTTGTAGGTGTATGTATTTTGTATATAATATAAGTGTCAAGAAATCTGCAGAGATAAATTGTGTGTAAAGAATGGGTGTAATTCTTAGTCTAAAAATTCTTCACGCAAACTCAAACTTTAAAAATCGAGAAATCATATCAAACGGATGAATTTTGAATTGAAATTTTTACAGTACATTAATTATATATTGAATTGCATATTAAATTTTTTTTATAATTTTTGGAAGTCAAAATCTATATAAACTGATGCATTTAAATCTGTTCAAGAAACTAATACAAAATAGTAACTTCGGAAGTGTCATTCTCTTTGGGTATAAATTCAAAAATTATCAAATCAGTGCCTTTAGAACCAGTTACGAGTCTAGTTTCTTACATATTTGGCATTGCGTTGATTGCTTGGGTATACTAATAGAACCATTAATTTCTTTAAAGTGCTGCAGAAAGCGACCTGTTTGGATATAATTAATTGTAAATAATTAATTTAATAAGAAAATCAAATAAAACCAATTGGGTTTGAAACTTAGGATATATTAGTTGATATCTTGAGGGTTTTGAAATTTTTTCTAACAACGTGGAGTGGGTTTTTAAGTTTCAAATTTAGCGAATGGATTGGGAAAACTTGTTTAAAATTATGTTTTATCTTAAAGTTGCTTTTAGTTAAGTTTCGATCTGAACCCATGTCTTGGGTAATTTTAGACCTTGAAGAACATGAACTTAGGTATTATTTAATAGTAACGGTGAGTTGGGTTGAGTCATGATAATGTGATTTAGTTTGGGGTTACTTAGTTTCTTATTCTTTTTAGTATTTTTGAGTTATTAGTGACATATAGTTTTTGTACTTGGTTTAAGGCACTAGTTGGACTTTCCTATTCGATTTGAGGATTATATTATACTGTGTTCAGGTGAGTAGTTGCATGCTACATATTTTTATAAATGTTCCCCTATCCTGAACTATTGAAAAATTAAATTGTTGCGTCAAGACGAAACTGTTTTGATAAATTATTATAGTATCAATAGAATTAAATTATTTCTAAAATATGTGTAACTTGACAGACTGTAATCTATTTGTTATGGTCTCATGTTCATAATGGGGAATTACCATGTTTTGAGAAACTGCATTGTATTGATTATTGGAACCATCTATCTATATATAGAAGTCTAGGGAAATTATTCCACTATGTGGTAACTCTGGCCATTAGAGAGCAGATCCGGGTTGGGCTGTGATGATTCTAGTTCTCAATGATTGTAAGGAAAAGACCTAGGCTACGCTAGGCTAGGTGACCTTCAATCAGATCATTTTTAAAAAAAAGGCCCAGGTTGTCACCTCGAGGATGAGTCTTGGTTCGATATTATTGCCTTGAGAACTTTGTGACATGTTACTAGTTATTCTTGGTACACAAAAAATTATTGATGATCATGTTGTAATCTGTTTTAAGTGAAAAATGTCATTTGTTATGTTCTTGAGAGACATGAGTGTTTTAACTGTTGAACTGTGGAACCTTCTTTCTGAAACAGGTTGTTTTTATTAAAATTGTATGCTAATCTAGTTTCTGTGACATATATCTTATTTTGGAATTGAATCCTGTTTTCAATACTATATTTACTATGGTCCTGTTTGGTACAGCTTATTTTCAGCTTTTAGCTTAATTTAAGTTATTTTGATGTGTTTGGTTCAGCTTAATAATACAGTTTATAGTATCTTGTAAGTCAAAAATCAACTTATTCTTCGAGTGGGGGAGGAGAAGCTTAATTTATAAGTCAAAAATCAGTTTATGTTCACAGTTATAAGCTATAAGCTGTTAGGCTATAAGTTATAATCACTTTCCCACAGCTCTACCAAACGGGACCTATCTATGTTTTTACTCACTGAGTTATCAGCTGACTTAGTTGTTTATCATTTTCAGGTGATAGAAGGACTTAGAGTGGACTCATGGCATATCGGAGACTCAATTACATGGACCTCTAGGACATTCTTTTTTTTTATTTAGCTTGTTATGTCGATTGTGCGCATACATTGTGGTTGGGTTTTATTTAGAATTATTTAATTTTGTGGGCGACTTGTGTTCCATTTAGTGTATATTTTTTAAAGTTAGTTATGACTGGTTTTACCATTTATACTTGTGACATGTCACTGGATTGAGTTTTGGTTTATTTTTTACTGGACTATTGATATATTTATTCGATGTGATTATGGATTTGTGTTTAGGCTTACGTGTGCCTTGAGCTAAGGCCCTGCGGGCCACGGCTAGTCATGCCCAGGTTTGGGGCATAGGTTGATTGTTATTTTGATGTCGATGAGGAATTTTATGTAGGCCACACATACACCATGTATGTTTTTGGTGGCCTGAAGTTATTTAGGAATGTCAGTGCACTAGTAATCAAGAAATGTCTTTTTGTCTTTAAGAAGTTTACGAATGATTTTTTTTCCTCCCTCCCTTTTATCGCCTGATGCAAGTTCCCAATTCCTAAGAAAAAGCAATGTATGGCTGCATGGTTAGTTATTGACTTGTTCCCTTGTTCTGTTGGATTATTATAGTTGGCTTATGGATCGGTAGCTATTTAATTTGGTTTATTCATAGCTATTTTTTCCATGCAGTGAGTCAGGTGTAGAATTGTAATATATGGTCTGTTTGGCTGTTTTTTTGAGCTTGCTCTTTTTAATTGGTTCAGTATGCCTTGTGTTTCTACAGTTAATTGGCTATTTTAGTTAGGCTTTTCAAGTAGTTCTTTTTTTTTTTTTTTTCCCCTGCTATTTTTAATGTTCTTGGGAAAATTGATTGATAAAGAGTATCTAGAAAATCAGTACAAACTCAGATAATCATACTAATTGAATTTTTGGCCAACTTCTGATTTCTTTGAGCAACCATAAAATCAAATTGAAAGATGAGAGAATGTAACAAACACTACTAGAAGAAGGCTTCAGCAAATTGACTTGCAAGTGTTCTGAAAACGAAAGTCTGAAGGACTCAAAATATTTTCAAGGATTTGGTTTGTTTTTGTAGAGGCAGGGGACTTCTATCAGTTAAAAGGATAGAGATGTTTGGAATGTAATTCCTTCAGCAATTTTCTGGTCAATTGGATTTGCTAGAAATCAATTGGGTTTTTAAAGAATTCAACCCAGTTGGGATTCCATTACTGAAGCAATTAAATTGAGAGTAGCATGTTGGTCCAAGGCCAATAATATTTTCAAGGATTATACGGTGGATGACTTTGTACTCAATTATTAGCAAATCAGATTGAGCAGATAGAGGTTCATGCATGCTCTGTTTTTGCAAATAGATGGGTGGTTTTGTGAGCGTTTTTCTGATTTTTTTGCTGTGGGTTGTAAATTCTTGTTAGGAGTAGTAACGATACGGGTTGATCAAGGTCTGCTCATGTTTCGAGGAGTGTCTTCAGTTTTTGGTGGTTGAGCAAATCAGAGTGGGTGGGTGGCAGCTTCCTGCTTTGGATTGATGACTTCTTTTACTTGGTAGGTTGTTGGCCTTGTTGAGTTTTGTTGGTTGGATTATTGGACTTATTTAGATGGTGTTTGTTTTTCTGGTTTATTTTCTTTGGTGGTCTTTGGTTGGTGCCTTGCTAACCTTGGGGCTTTTTATTTTTATGTCTGGGTGTGCACATGATTTGCTTGCTTTGTATAAGAGAACTTAGTTGAGATACACTTAGTCGGCAATGAAACATTTTGTCACCTAAGTGTTCATTTCATTTTTATCAATAAATTTTCTCCTTCCACTAATTAAAAAGAACTGCAAGTAGTTCCCATCATCGGCATCTTATATTGGTCAAGAAGCAAATGACATTGTTACCAAAAAATACTAATCATAAAGATAACAATTCATAACAGCCCTTGGTTGACACAACAATTTAACTTAGTAGGGTTAAAACTATTTAAAGGGATTGAAATGATGAGGTTGTAGTTAATTAAGGATTAAAAGCGACCATGTGATAATAATTATGTGACTCTTTTATTAGATTAAACATCTCGTATCTTTTATATTATTATTATTTATTATAAATGAAACAATCAAAAAGGAGGATGGAAGTTTGGGTGAGGTTAAATCCATTGTAAGGTGTAGGCATCTCACTCAGATGCAGCTGATGGCGAAATCTTTCAATGCAACACCTGAAATATATATATATATATATATATATGAGAGAGGATTACCAAGGATAGATTCTTCTGTGAACCCCATCTCTTCAGAGCTCCTTCCTCCCTTATTCACGTTCTAGGCCTTGGAATCCCCATAACTTGAATTCAACAAGTAACAGAGATTGAGCAACAAAAGAAAAAGAAATCCAAAGGGTTTTGTTAGAAAACAAGTTGGAAATTTTCATATTTATTTATTTTTTTTCTTTTTTGCGCTGGTGGGTTGCTTCCGATGGTGGTTGCCAGAGGTCGTCTCTGTTTTTTTTTGTTTTTTTCTCTAGAGACAGGGTGGAGGAAGGAGGGGTTTTTGTGTTCTTGATGGGTTCTGGGTTGTTGAAGAACTGTGTTGTGGGAGATGAGGTAAGAGGTGAAGAAATAGCAGGAGAGAGAAAATCAGAGAAGCCATTTGAGATATCTATAGCAATATTGGGTTTGTTTTGTAATTTTTTTTTCTTTTCTAGACAATGTGTGTGGTTCACACTGTCCACTGCAAGTGAAGTTTGAAAGGGCTCTTTCCATCCACCTCAGTAGGGGTGAAAGTACGGTTGCTACATTGCAGCGACGTAGCACCACTATAATTTAAATTAAAATCCCGTTTGGCAATTATATATTTTAGTTTGACAATTATATATTTTAGCTAAAAAATTAATATAAATTGTGATATTATTTTTTTTTATACATATCTTTTTGTAAAAAACTAAAAAATTATTAAAATTGCTTGTTTTCAAATGAGGCCTAAGATAATAGGTTAATTTGTTCATCTTATTTAGGGAAATTATATTGCTATGATATATAAATTGGACTCATTAACTAGTTTAGATGTCTCTGTGTTTACTTATTTTAATTTGTGATATTCCATATTAGTATATTTTTTAATCGATGGATGATGAGTCGTTTTAGGTATTGAAATTTCGTTAATTTGTCATATTATTTTTCATATGTATATAATATGTTGTTCTTTTTTGGGCAAAAAAGCCATTATACAGCCTCTATAGTTTCAATTATGACAATTTAGTCCCCTAATTTTCAAAAACGAATCAATTTAGTCCTAAGCCTAAAATATAAATAAGTCATCAACCCAAAAGTTTTATTAATTACTGTTAAGGCTCTATCCATTTAGTAGTTAACGTTTCAAGCCTTAGTGTGTTAGGTGGAGTTTTTTTTTTTTTCTTTTTTTTATTTCAATTCTCCTTTATGCTTTTAAATAAGAGCAGAAAAAAAATTGAAACAAACTTAACACACTAAGGCTTGATACATTAGAGCTCGTTTGGGATGCCACATTGGGGTTAAAATAGTCACAAAAGACAAAATATGTTATTTTAGCCAGATATGACAAAATGTCACATCCAATTCATAATCATTTCATTTTTTCTCTTATAAAAGTCAAAAAATCCAAAAAGCCTACCCTAAACAAGGTTTTTTAGCCCCAGACTAAAATAACCAAAAAATCAAAAAGCCAACTCATATCTCAAACGAGCTATGGCCTTACAATAATTAATAAAACTTTTGGCCTTATGAATTATTTATATTTAGGCTTAGGGACTAAATTGATTCATTATTGAAAATTAAGGGGCTAAATTGTCAAAATTGAAAATATAGGGGCTAATATAAAACAAGTGTGAAACTTGTAACGCCCTCAAAATAATACAATACAGATAGCTCATATGCAGAATAAATATGAGAAACAACATACTTTCATTTATCGGAATTCACTATTTAACAATCAGTTAAATGCCATGTAGGCTTACATCTTTCCAAGTCATTGCTTGATTACACAAATTGAGTCTCACTCATTACAACTTAAACTCTTGGCTTTACAAATAACAAATATACACACATAAAGCAGTAATAAAAAGCTCTTGCTTCCCGAAAGTCCATCCACCTTATTGTCTTGGAGGAAACACCTTACCTGCACCTGAAAATGATATTCCCGTATAGGGTGAGCCAACAACCCGGTAGAGATAATCTAACACAATATATGAAATTTAGCAAAGGTATAAATTCCACATGCATACACAATACCGATACTAAAACATTTACAAGGCCTGCATATTCATATGCCACTAAGACCAAACCTCATTTCCATTTTCCTTCAATTCATTTCAAGTTCATATATATTACTCAATTCATAAGTTAAATTCATTATCCTTCAACAACTAAAGTGAGACTAACACTCAATGGTTTTCTAACTATGCAAAATACACATAAACACTTCAAACCTTGCCATTTTACGGATATTTTGTCCGAAGGAACCGACACCCATTTATATATAAAATTTCGGGTATTTCACCTAGGACACTCCGGCCAATTTGCTTTAAATGGAGTCCATCACCTTTCTTCTCCCAAACAAATATACATATGCAATGTATTTATAAGCATAATCACATATGGAGTGCATCCCCTTTCTCCTCCCAATAAACATACATATACAATATATTTATAAACATAGTCATATATGGAGTACATCTCCTTTCTCCTCTCAATAAACATACATATACAATATATTTATAACATGGTCATATTCAATGACACCAACAATGAATTAGCATTAAATCGCCTAATTCTCATGCAATTTCTACAACAATCATAGTTATCCTCCACCGATAGCCCAATACAATTATTTCTAAGAGATGTTCAATCTCAAAATAAATAGTTTATTCAAAACTTCCATAGGTGAAATATTACATATCCAATATCACCATTTATAACCACAACCTCCCAATTTCACATTTTCAATGTTAATCCCAATTATTTATACAAAATAATAATTTAATCAAAATTAGGGCAAAATCTCCCTCTTTCCAAATATCAACCCAAACACCAAAATCAACTATTTTGGCACAACATGATCTTATATTCAAGCCTTATATTCATCAAAACACCTCTTTTCTTTCACACCCAATTCCTAGATTTGTCTAAACCACAACCATATCTCATCATCTATACACAATAGCAAATAACTAAGCTAAAAACCATATTAGAGTGTAGAAATTCCCTACCTCAAGTGTAGAAGACGAACAAACAAGATCGAAATTCCAAAGATGACGAAATCAACCCTTACTTGGATCAACACGAAACTCTTGAAGCTCTCTACCTTATTCTCAAAGACACTAGGGCCAAGAACACAATGGATTTAGATGAAACCTTAGAGAGAAGGTGGTTCCTAGAGAGAGAAGCTGTAGATTTAGGGTTTGTGGGTGAAAAGAAGATCAAAAATGAAACCAAAACGGCGTTGCTGTGAACTGATGTAAACCAGGCTCGCTCGAGCGAAGGAGTTCTCGCTTGAGCGACTAGACACAAAAAGGTCGCCTTGCTCAAGCGCAAGAAGCCTCGCTCGAGTGAAGAGACCAAAATCTGGGCAACTACTATTTGTACCAAATGACAACCAACCTGTTCCAAACTCGCCCAACAAGTCCCAAAACTCAAATTCAAAGAATTAAAGGGAGGAAACAAGACACAAATAACAATATACAATCATAGAACTCGAGTCCGGAACACAATAAAGGTTGGGGTAAAACCGGGATCGCTATAACCTTCCCACCTTGGGAAATTTCGTCCCCAAAATAACAAATCAGGCTCTAAAACATAATTGAACTATTCACAGCCATGTTATTCCCACAAGTTCAACACCATGACCCATTCTCCAGTCATTTATTCATACCAACTCGATTCACAAGTCCCAAATTAAAATGAAATTTTCAATTTTCCCAAAACATTTGCAAGGTTTAACCAAAGTCCAAATTTTTTAAAAATCGTACATAGCATATACAATGCTTCCAAAAATGATACAACATCATCAATATTCCAAATTCTCAAAACATAAGCAATGTTTATATTGAATCCATGTTCTTCCCAAACAACCATAACATATATAATGTTTTCATAAGTTAAAACATATACGATGCTTAGATTTTTCATTAATACAATAAATTCTCAATACATACTCATGCAGTAACAAACAAATCCAGATATTTCTCTCGAACTTCTAATTCACGTTCCCAAGTCGCTTCCTCAACTTCGTGATGTTTCCACAATACTTTTACTAAGGGAATTGTCTTACCTCGCAAAACTTGATCCCGTCTATCCAAGACTTCTACCGGTCTCTCCTCATACGAGGCATCCTCATCTACCTCTAAGTCAGTCCAATCCAACAGGTGCGATGGATCCGGCTCATATTTCCGAAGCATACAAATATGAAACACGCCATGAACCCTAGAAATTTGTGGTGGTAACGCCATACGGTAAGCAACCTCCCCAATCCGCTCAAGGATCTCAAAAGGGTCAATAAACTGAGGAGACAACTTTCCACTCTTCCCAAACCTCATCAAACCCCGTATAGGTGATATTTTCAAAAAGACATGATCTCTCACCTCAAATGACAAAGGTCTCGTCCTACGGTCGGCATAACTTTTCTGGCAACTCTGAGCCGTAGCTAGCCTCTTACGGATAAGTGCAACTTTCTTCGTAGTTTCTCAAACCAACTCTGGACCCAACAAAGGTGCATCACCCACCTCGGCCCAACACACTAGAGATCTACACGGTCGACCATACAAGGCCTCAAACAGTGTCATGCCAATACTCGAGTGAAAACTATTGTTATAGGCAAACTCCACCAAGGGTAGGTGCCTCTCCCACGACCCCTTAAAATCAAGGACACAGCCTCTAAGCATATCCTCAAGGATTTGAATAGTACGCTCGGACTGCCCGTCAGTCTGAGGATGATATGCAGTACTAAAAGTCAATCTAGTGCCCAAGGCACTCTGCAAACTCTACCATAACCGAGCAGTGAAACGTGAATCTCTATCCGAAACAATCGTCACAGGGACCTCGTGCAACCTTACTATGTCCCTAATGTACAAGTCAGCAAGATAATCTACCGAGCCACTTACGCGCATGGGAATAAAATGCGCCAACTTAGTCAATCGGTCAACGACCACCCAAATGGCATCACTACCCCGTTGAGTCCTCGGAAGGCGCACAACAAAGTCCATCATAACATGCTCTCACTTCACTCAGCTATAGGCAAGGGTTGCAACAAACCCGCTGGCCTCTGATGCTCGGCCTTCACTTGTTGGCAAGTAAGGCACTTTGACACAAACACAGCCATAGCCACATCCACATCCTTTTTCATACCTTTCCATCAAAACTGACGACTAAGATCATGTTACATCTTTGTGCCTCCCAGATGCACCGCAAGGCGCGAATGATGAAACTCTCGGATTACCTTCACTCGGAAAAACTCCGGTATAAACAAATGGTCACGGTATCTCACACTCAGATCGGGATACACAGTCAAATTTCTTTCTACTTTTTCATTGGAAATCTTCTCTCGGAACGATTCCACCTCAAGGTCACCCTTTTGCACTTCCAACACTCGATTCATAAGTGTAGGTTGTGCAACTATTGAAAACAAAGCTGCGAATTCAATAGACTCGCCCAGTTGTAAGTCAAACTCATTAAAATTACCCAACATTTCCCATTCTCGGATGGCGATAGAAGCTACACTGCTAACTGGCTTTCTACTCAAGGC